GAACATCTCCAGAACAATGGTTCTGGAGATAAACTACTCGAGTTCTGACCTTGCTTCTATTGTATTATTACCCGTGTGATAACCTAAATCAAGTCACTTAGCCTCTCTAGGTCTCAGTTTCTTCATCTGTGAAATAAGGGTATTGGTCTAGATAGCCTCAGACGCCCCTTCCCCTCTAGATTTATGATCCTGTTAAACACATTCCACATATACATCCACACACACACACATGCACTCTCACTCACATGCATACACACAGGTGCACACACATGCACAAACTGGGAAAGTTTGTCCTCTATGGATTCATCATACATCTAGTCTGGTTTCAGACTGTGTCTAGATAATGCTAGAGCATGCAGTCAGTTGGGCCAATTCACATCATCAGCCATTTCGATGTGAAGCAGTCTAATAAAATGTTTGGCGTAGCATATGAGACACAGCTGGTTAAATGAAATGTTCACTTTTCGACCAGTTTCTGAGGCATTGTATAGCTAGCTATAGCTTCATAACTTTGGATGTCAGTCCAAATTAAAAGTTCCTTCATCTCCAAAATTTTAAAAGAAATAAAAAGCTTGAACTCAGTTTTTTCTTAGTACATAGAGTTCCATTATTCCATAAAAAACACTTCTTTAAAATGTCACCCTTCTTCTCTTTTAATCTTCCTTTAACCAAACCCCTCTACCCTCTCTTCCCAGGATAATGCTAAAAATATGGCTCTACCTATACATTTAGATCTCATTACAAATGCTTTGGCCTTTATGTTGAGCTCAGATGTGGCTAATTCTAGCATCACAAGCCCCCAGTGGGACAAAATATTATGAAAGTGCTGATCTAGTTAGTACATTTTTAATGAAGATTGAGGGAATTGTAGAATGGACTCTCTAGCCAGCACAGAGGCCCCAAGTCTCTGTTAAATATTTGGGACTCTGAATGTTAGGCAGAGTCCTAAAAAGGAGTTTGGCCAATGGAGATTAGGTAGAAAGGAACAGGTGCTCTATCTTTACTTGGTTTCTGAAGCATGCTCCCCAGTTATGCTCTGTCCACATCAAGTAACTTCTTATTCCCCAAAGTCAAGTCAGTCCAAGATAAAGTATTACATATCCTTGGAAGAGAGCTATGCACTCACAGATGCTGATGATGGGAAAAAAATTCAACAATGTCTTATTTTAAACATTCTCATGACCACAATTGAAACCTTACTTCTCTATGCCATTAAACCAGGCTGGCTAAATTAATAGACAATCAGATTTTCATATTTTCCCTAGCCGAAAGAGCCAAATTCTTTCATATAGCCATTAGACTGCAGTAGTGAAAATTATCCAAACTGTTCATTGAGACCAATATTTGCTTAGAAAAAAGATATCTTTCCGAAGAACCAACCAAAGAATTTTTTCAGTCCAGTGGTTGAATGGGTTTAAGTCAGCTTGCACTAGGTGTGCCTTCATGACTTCATTATGGAAACATAGTGACTTGTCCCAGCTAGGAGACAATGCCTTTTGAAATTCGATATGAGAAGAGACTAGTATATGGTTAAAAATTTCCAGTAAGACCACATCTAATGTTCATAACTATCTGCTTGTTTAGGGACATATGTGTATGTATATGTACATATTCAAACATATGTGTTTATACATATATAGACACATATATTTCTCTATACACATATATATTCTACAAAGAAAATTAGTCATCATATTAAGGTTATTGTTTACCAGAATGTAGGGCTCATACAGTTACCTGGATAATTTAGACTAAAAAAAAAATCCATTGAGGAAAAAAGTATTTTAGCTTGAATTATATAGATCATCAGCCTTCCTCTAATGAACTTGTATGATAACTATTCTATCCATTATTTCACTTTGACTAGGTAGACACAAGTAATACAAAAAGCCTATTTCTATGCTAAACTGTTGACTGTACCTGGGCAAAAATCAATTGTGAAGCAAAATCCATACAATCTTCCAGTTTATCATCTTTGGAAAGTCTGTGTCTTTTTTCCTCTATTAAAATTTCTAGGGCATCCTTCAAATCCTTGCTGAAATAAAAATAAATAAAATTAATCTACCCTGGTTCATCTCAGTTCTAGGCAACGTATCTGTTATTTGTTTACATAAGGTGTTCAATCTTGATTAAAACCATTTGTGCCAATAAATAAATGAAACTGAAATTTTATAAATATATTTGAATTCCATGTATTTTGTATTTCACAACAGTGACTCAGGGTCAATTGACACTTTTATATGCTAAAGGTCTGTACAGGGTGTCCCAAATGTCTTAGTGAAACTTTAATAGCTTAAAACCTCACTAAGACTTTTGAGACACTCTGAATATTAACACATATATGTTTGTACATGTGTATAAGACTACTATGATCTATCATTCATGAAGCTAACATACATACACTTATGTGTATATAAGTTTATATATTTGCATATGTATAGTCTTAGAGAATTCCCTATAGCAGTGCTATCCAACTAGAATAGAAATGGGCCATTGTATTTCCCATTGTAATCTGGTTTCAGCTTTTCTTAGGAGTGTTTCACCACTCTGCTCCCAGGGTGACACACTTCTGGCCTAGAGCAACAAGAGGTAATTGATATATATGGGTATGTATATGCAGATCTGCATAATACACATGTGTGTATGTATGTGTATATAAATGCATATACACAACACGTATGTACACTATATAAATACACATATATGCACGACAGACAAATATAATGTTTATATAAGTCTATGCATGTATGTGTATACACAACCCTTCCTCCCACCAACATATAGTCTACAAACACATACACTTGCATATATACTGTATATGGAAGTGGTTCTGGATTCTCAATGGCTACACTAGTGGAGCACATTTTGTTAAGGCTTAAAGTGAAGGCCAGGTGATAGAATGTATATCTATTACAAGGAGAGCACCTTAGCCAAATTCAGAAAGACTCTTCATCAGATTAGATGGTGGGTGATTAATTTTTCATCCACAGCCACTCTTGAAGGCTCTCTAGTAGTAGTCCATGGAGGGGTTGGGTCTACGTTGGAGGAGTGAGTACTCATAATGATGAAATTACAGATAATAGAGGTATAGAAATACACACATACATAATTTACTGTTCTTCAGTCATTTTTCAATCCTATCTGACTCTTCGTGATCCCATTTGGGATTTTCTTGGCAAAGATACTGGAGTGGTTTGTCATTACTTCTCCAGCTTATTTTACAGATGAGGAAACTGAAGCAAACAGGGTTAAGCGACTCTTCCAGAGTCACACAACCAGTAAGTGTCTGAGGTCAGATTTAAACTCAGAAAGATGAGTCTTCCTGATTCCTGGACCAGCACAATATCCACTAACCCACCTACCTTCTCAAAAGCACTGACCCTAGAGTCAGAGATTCATTGCTGTTGTTCAGTTGTGTCCCGCTCTTTGTGATCCCATGGCCTCTGCTGTCCATGGGATTTTCTTGGCAAATATGTTAGAGGGGTTTGTCATTTCCTTCTCCAGGAAATTAAGGCAAATAGAGGTTAAGTGTCTTGCCCAGGGTCACACGGCTACTAAGTATCAGAGGCCATATTTAAACTCAAGTCTTCCTGATGCCAGGCCCAGCACTCTATCCACTAAGCCACCTAGCTGCAACATATACATATACAATACATACATATTTATGTGTGCATATATATGGACATATATTATGTATGTTATACATGTATACACGTATGTTTATATATATGCATGGTGATATAGTAGAATGAGGAGTAGATCAAGAATTAAGAGACCTAAGTACTAGTCTTATTTTTGACACTAATGAAATAAATATATATCTTAGGGTAGGTCCTATAACTTCTCTTGGCCTTGGTTTTATCATCTGTAAAATGAATATGTTGAACTAAATTATATGTAATATCCTTTCTGGATCCTTTCTGGATCTATCTATCTATCTACTTTCAGGATGCAACCATCTTTGGGTAAATCATACTTATAAAATCAAGTGTTGGGGATAGAAAGACAAAAGTCTTGCCTTCAAGGGTTTTATAATCTACTGAGTAGAAATAACACATTCATAAAAGTGGTAAGTCCAAAAAATACAAGTTATTTTTTGGAAGGTACTAGCATTTGCGGTGATCAGGAAAGACTTCAGTTAGAAAGTACCACGCATGCTGAGCCTTGCAGAAAGCTAGGGATTTGAGGAGGCAAAGGAGAGAAGGGAAACATTCCAGGTAGGACAACCAGTACAAACGCCTGGAGAAGGGCATGGAGTTCCATGGCTGAGAAGCAGTAAAGAGGACCACTGTAATTTGGGTGGACTGCAATTTTTGTGAAGAAGACTAATGCAGACATAAAATGGCTAAAAGGGTAGGATGGGACCATATTGTGAAGAAGCAAAGTAGTTAATATTTGATCCTTGAGGTAATAGGGAGCCAAAAGAGATGATTAATTAGGAAAATGACATGGTCTAACCTACACTTTAGGGAAGTCACTTTGGCAGCTGAATGGAGTATAGAATGGGGTAGGGAGAGGATTGAGGTGAATAGAAAAATTAGGAGGCTACCATAATAGTCAACAAGAGGTTTTGGGAACTTGAACTGGAGTACCATGTGAATGAGGGGAGGTCATTTGTAAGAGATGTTACAGAATCAGAGAAGATAAGATTTAGCAACTGCCTGGATACATGTGGTAAGTTACAGTGAATAGTCAAGGGTAATACAATGAGGTTGAGAGCTTAGGGGACTTGACAAAAAGTGCTCTTGACAAAAAGAGGGAAGTTAGGAAGATATACAGACTAGGAGAGAAGGGGGAGAAAAGATAATGAGTTCTACTTTGGACATGCAGAGTTTAAGATGCTTATAGGACATCTAGTTTAAAATGTTTAATAGGAAACTGGGGATTCAACGCTGGAACTCAGGAGAAAGATTTTGTCTGTCTGCATCTATCTCTGTTTTTCTTAACATATCTAAAATATCTTTTTTTAATTTAGGAATTTTCTTTTTTATTATGAACTTAAGAATATGGAATGTTTCATAAAATTGCATATCATGCTTTTAAAGGGGTCATGCTCATCTTTTCTTTATTGCTCCAATGTTAGTATATATTCTGATTAAGAGAATACTGGATATAGGAATAGTTACATATTATTCTTAATGAAGGGTATTAAACAGTAAAAAAAATTGAAGAAAATATTTAGTAGGCTTGTGGGTTCCTTTGGTCTGAAATGGAATATTGTTGATTTCTCACATGAAATTGGAGTAAAATGGAGAAAACAGACAGCTTCTAAGCTTCTCCTAATATAGCTATCACATTCTTTTGTTGGGAATACTGTAAATCCCATGCCAATAAAGATTCCCATATTAAAATGTAAATCCTTCCAAAATAAAACAGTAATTATTTTTCTCATATACCATTTTGGTTTATCTTTATATGAGGCAGCTAGGTGGCACAGCGGATAGAGTGTTATGCCTGGAATCAGGAAAACCTGAATTCAAAACCAGCCTCAGATACTTACTAGCTGTGTGACCCTGGGTAAGTCACTTAACCTCTGCCTGCCTCAGTTTTCTCATCTGTAAAATGGGAATAATGACAGCACCTACCTCATAGGGTTGTTGTGAGGAACAAATGAGATAATATTTGTAAGTGCTTAGCACAGTGCCTGACACATAATAAGGTACAAAAATATTTGCTTGCTTCCTATGTATTCCTTCAACCTTCAATTTTCAATTAATCATGAGTTGATGCTTTTTCTCTCATCTGAATATGTGTCAGATGGCCTGTGACTTGTAACTGCTCAACTTTCCAATGGGCAAGGCCATTGTAAGTGATCAAAACTGCTAACCATATACATTCTATTTATTGATATTTTCAAGTCCTGCCAAAAGATACCAAAACACACATATATAATATTTCCTTCATAGATAAAGAGCCATACAGTTTTGTTTCTAATTTCAGTAATTTTATTTTAACCTGAACTATTTCAGCCTTTAAGAATATTACAAATCCCTACAAGTTGGATTAATGAAAATTAATTCTGAAGTAACTTGACTCAGTGGTTCCATTTTTGAGAGTTAAAAAAGTGGTAGTCTAGCACAGGAGTTCTAGACCTAGGGTCCACAGATTGGGATGTTTATGATTTGGGTTTTTTATATTTTGATGACTTTATTTCAATATAATTGGTTTCCTTTTTAATCCTATGTATTTTATTTTTTATTCTGGCAAGGGATCCACAAGCTTCAGCAGACTGCAAAAGGAGTCCATGACAAAAAAGGTTATGAACCCCTGCTTTAGAGGAAAAAAAGGTTATTATTAAATGATAGAAATGGGATGAGCCAACCTTTCTCTCCAGCAAAACAACAGTGTTCTAGCCCTAAACTCCAGAGCACACAAATCATAGAAATAGTTCTACGCCAAAAACACCCATCAAGAGCATTTCTCCTTTGCTCTGTGATCCAGTCTAAGACAGCTAAAATGACATAACCTACTTATAACATAGCTCTCAAATATACCATTTATAAGAGAAAATTTATTGGAAAGGCAAACAAAGTAAAGTTAGAAAGAAATCTAACCTCTCAAATTTTCAAAGTTAGTGTTACTTACACAGACTTTTCATACTTCTTGTATAGCCAAGATATTTTAAAGAAGATGTCTGGTTTGAGAAGGAGAGCTTGCCAAGCATCAAAATAGCTCTGTATTTTGACCACAATGGCATTTTCTGAAAATAAGAATGAGAAACCAGTTTAGGTGATATGTGAGTCAAAGAAGGTTACTTTGAACAGAGCATATTCCCCGGAGAGTCTCAAATAGCGGGCTCTTAGCTACCTGTAGTTCTCTATTAGGCAAAGCAATATCAATTTCAGTGGGAGTTTTAGCCAAGTGAGAAACACTGCATGATTCATTCAGGCTTTCAATTATTCAGTTTGCCTATCTATGTCTCTACATTGGCCAGATGAACTAAATAATTGCCAGCTCCTCCATTTTGGGTTTTGTTGACACAGGCCAGAGTCTCACACATACCATAGGACAAGCCTCCATGGCCACACAATTCAAACCCATGCTATTCTCTAGGAGAAGAGTGGAAATCAGTAGCTGTAGGAGGCAAGGTCCCAGGAATGGTACCTAAGAATAGGAAGAACAAAGAACTGCTATTCCTTCTGTTGTTGGAGAACTACAAAATCTTCACTTCACTTGATGCTTTTGGGTAAACACAACCACAAGGTAGCCAGATCTACACAGACCAAATTACACAATAGCATGTGGAGAAAAAACATATTTTTCTCAAATTACACCAGGCCTCATCAACACAGACTGAAATGTGGATTGATGATTATTTGGTGAATCACCTGAGAAGACAAAAGAATATAAAAAATCTGTCTGGCATTATTTAGGCTTTCTACATCCATGAGATAACTGACAATGCTTCATTTCCTTTTAAATATCCTCTACAAAATGGAGCTTTTATCTGAATTAATTATCAGGTACTTATGAGATATAAGGCTATTCTGAATTAGGTAACTTCTATATAGCACAGGTGCTTGTACATGGGGTTCCCTGTCTAAGGGAGGTTTGGATGGGAGAATGGCATATAGAATTCAGACTCTCACAACTGGACAGAATCTTAGAGGTCATCTAACCCAGCACAATCCCTTCTGGAACATCATTAGCCAGTGGCCATCTGGCTCTACTCTGAAGGTCTCCAGTGAGAGGAAACCTGAGACAGTTCTTTCCATACAGGATCAGCTCTAACCACTCAGAAGCTTTTAGTCATATTTAGTTGAAATCTGCTTAGCTGTAAATTTCACTGGTCCTAGGTCTGACCTCTGGTGCAAAGCAGAACAAATATAATTCCTTTTCTATATTACAACTCTTCAAATCTTTTCAAATAATTATCATCCTCTCTCTTTTCCTTCTTCTCTGTCCCAAGCTTAAACAACCCCAGTTCCTTCAAATGATCCTCTTGTGAGAGAGGTTTGAACCTCCTTACCATTTTGGTCACTTGTGTGTATGCACGTGCTCTGGCTTCTTAATATCCTTTCTAAAATGTGTTGTCATCCACTGGACACAATGGTTTGCATGTGGTACAAAAAGGGCTGAGCACAGTGAGAATATCACCCTCATCATTCTGGCCCATGCTTCTGTAATTGCAACCTGATTGCTGCAGGTTTTTTGGTTTTGCTAAAATGTCATTTGCTATATAAATGTAAGCTACTCTACATTTCATATCATACAGATACAGTTTTTCTATATTTTAGAGGAGGATGGGGAGCAGGTATTTCCACATTTACCAACCAAAATAATGGTTGGAACCTTGGTTGGCAGCAGGCTGTCTCAACTAACAAACTGAACTCATTTGTTTGTTTTTAGCCTTCGGCCAAAATAGTATCACTTTGTTAACCACATGAATTGAACTTCTACTATATGCAGAGCAATATTCCAGATCTGAATAGAGATATAAAATAAATAGAAGACATAGTTCCTATCCTAAAAGAACTCACAGTCATATGGGAAGCAAAACATACACACTTGGAAAAACAAAACCCATAAGATTAATTAAATATATAGTCAAGGGCAAATTCACAAACAGAACATGAATACAGGAGTCTTCTCCTATCTTTCCTTTCTTCTTAGAGAGGGAAGAATCTGACTCTCTCATCAATAAAAGGACAAAGTGTAATGTGATAAGAACAAGATTTTCAGTACCATCCAGAGGGATCCCCAAGAAGAGGACATTGGAGGTATCCAACATAACGCGTCTCATGAGGTTCAGCACATTGATATAACCCAATTCGTTGGTGACATCCTCCAGTTTATCCAGATGAATTACAGTTGAGTTAACACAAACAGCCACCATGCGCACAAGGCCTGGCCCAGACAAAGCTAAAAAGCACATATATATATAAAATAGTCAGTAAACCAGAATTAAATCAAAATAATTCAGTTAGGTGAAGTCCACAGTCCAAAAGTAAAACTAAAGACTCCCAGTTACTCAATGGCTTGAGCACATCTAGCACTCTGGGTTTTTGCCTGTGTGTTAAAGAGCTTGAAATACTGTTTAAGACAAACTTTTGTCTCATAAACAGTGGTCAGAGGCAGACATGGATTTAAGGGGAATGCTTAACATTTGCTCCAAAAGGCTAGATCAGCCTAGACAGAAGGAAGTTAAGAGTGGAGCAAGGAAATGTTGCATTCTATCAATGTAGATAGATATCCAGAGTCTAGGATGTTCCAGGGGAAAAATTCCTCAGAAGCAAGAATTTTAGCCCAATTTCCTGAATTGCTGAACTTCCTCAGTTTCACTTCACTATCACTTCAGAAGATGAAGCCAGACAGCTGATAGATCACCAAACTGCCACAAATGAATGTTCTGCTGGGGCAGAGAATAACCATGAAACTGTTGCCTTGGGGAATGAAAGATAGTTTCATCCAGAAATGCAGTTAACCCTTGGTGATCACTTAAAAACACCAATGCATCAGTTTAATTTCAATAGGCAATGTGAATTCACTTGATCTCACAGACAGTTAGGTGGGGTCCAGTTTTGTGGACTAGTTACAATCTATGCATCTCTTAGGCTTCTGGTAGAAAAGGAAGAAATGTCAAAGGGAGTCTGAGACTTAACTTAAAATCCTGTTACCTCTTTAGTGCCAGGAAAGTTATTGGTGAAGGCTAACTGCTCTTAATAAGTCTAAGTAAAGAGCATTGAATTTGGAATCAGAGACCTGGGTTTGAAAATCCCAGCTGTCACTCATTATAGATATGACTTTAGGCAAACCACTTAAATTTTCTGGGCCTCAGTTTCCTCATCTTGAACATGAAGGCACTGGACTAGGTGACTTCTAATAGCCCTTACAACTCTAAATCTATGATCCTTTGTTCCTTTTTGAATTGGATGATCCTGGTACGGGGGCAGGGGGTAATTATCATAAGTACTCATAAGGAAAGCACAGGAAATATGCCCCTTTCCCCCATAGTCTGTGCATTTACTTAGCCACCACAGATTCATTTTCCTCAACATGTGTCAGGTCTGTCAGAAGGCAGGGTTGTCTTCAGGATAGCTGTGGTAGTTTTACAATTCAATAGCCATGTGGATAAACGTCTGGGAGAGGGCTTGCTTGACACTAC